TTATGTATATTTATATATCGAGGACTTTAATTTTATCTATCATTTTTAGACCCCACAAGTTTAAACAAAGAAAAGAAACACACAATTTTAAAGCTTCCAATATCAGCCGTTTTCGTTGTGCGTCTTCTTCACAAAAGCTAATGCATATTGTCAAATTCAATAACTGTTTTTTTCACTTACTTGAGAGATGTGTATTTTCATATAAATCAATAACTCACTCTTTAGACATATAAATGTTTTAAACCGACTATATATACTACATAATAATTTATAGTAGTTTCTAAATTCAACTTTTGTATTGTGCATTTGTGAATTGTAGAAGACAACAAATGAAAACTTTTGGGGGAGGATACTAGCTAGTCTAGTCCCATATTAAAAGAGAAGTATACTTACTAAAGACCCAATAAATGGTAGTATGGGACTACTATATGTACGTATAAGTAAACCTACATGTCTTTGGCTCATGAACAATAATTCGTCTCAAGAGGTTTTAAACCACTTGAATTGATAATAGAGAACAAAAAATCGGAGTTGTTTTTTTAATTTTTTTTTTTACATATTATATAGTAGTTTTTAACTAACAGGTGGAGTCTCACCACTATGAAACAAAACTGAATATTTCACTAAATTTCACAATTTTTTTTTAAAGGATTCTTATACCTTTTTGGGACCCCACCTCGTATATGCATATAGATTGTCTAACTAAGACGACTCAAGCTGAGGGATACATAGTTACCATCTCATGATCCATTTGAGCCTGTATCAGTTTCATATTGTTCATCAAACTCTACTTGGTGGTCTCTATAGTTGGTAAAAAAAAAACACATTCTTTTTTTGAAAAAGAAAAAACACATTCATTATAGATTCAAATAAACTTTAAGTATACGTTTTGAAGTAGAATAAAAAAGTAAATGGAAAGAAAGAGCTAGGTGCATTGTGGTAATATATCATATTCATATATGTAATCAAATCAATCTTTTTAATTTTTAAATGTCTAGAAAACAAACCTTATATATATTTGTGTAGATATAAACGCATATATTTGTTGATGCAGGTACTTGGGGTTTATAATATGCTCTCGTGCGCGTCAGGTGTAAGAAGAAAAATCTGTCTGACACTGTTAAAGCAAAAGTTGCAGCATGGCAACAGTTTCAAGGAACGTATCTGTTCCCTTAACCGCGGAAATTAAACATCAAAGGAATAACTTCTCCCCTTCTTTAATTTTAGTCTTTCAAGTTTTAATGTATTTATTTATAACTTCCAATGTTACATCGAAATGAAATATTCATCCATATCCATCAGAACTTATTCGTGATTCTCAAACCATACTCAAGAAATTCCTG